CCCAGACATGCTCGATGGGGAGAGGTCGGGACTCAGTGCTGGCCAAGGTAATGTGGTGATGTTCTGTTGTTGGAGGTAACCTGTAACGATCCTGGCCCTGTGACATCTTGCGTTGTCATCCTGTAAGATGAAACGGCGGCCATGACGTCGTGCGAACGGCACAACATGGACTGCCAAGATGTTGTCCCGGTAGTACTGGCCTGTAACACGCCCTGCAACAACATGTAAAGCCGTTCTTCCAGCAACAGTGATGCCTCATCACACCATAACAGAACCACCCCCAAATCGATCATGTCTGATGACGTTAACGTCTTGGAAGCGCTCGTTTCGACGACGCCACACCCTCCTACGTCTGTCCAAAAAATCAACAGTGAACCTTGACTCATCTGAAAACATCACATTGCTCCAGCGTCGATTATCCCAGTGTTGACGATCCCTACACCAACGACGTCTTGCCTGAATGTGATGACCTCTCAAGCAAGGGATCACGCGAGGACGTCGGGCGCGAAGGTGACCCCTATGCAGTCGATTCCGAATCGTCTGGCCACTCACTCTCACACCAGTGTCTGTTTGAAGACGAGCGCTGATCTGATTTGCTGTGATGACACGATTTCTCAAGGCCAAGGTACGGATAAATAGATCCTGGGCTTGAGTTGTCGCCCTTGGTCGACCTGAGCGTGGTCTGTCCTGTACAGATTGTGTATCACGGTATCTGGACCATAGCCTGCTTATGACAGACTGAGAAACATGCATCGTCCGCGCCACAACCGCCTGTGTTGTGCCGATCTGTAGCATGCCAAGGGCACGTAACCTTTCATTTTGGGTAAGCCGACGCATATCAAAATTTGTTTTCTGGTCACTAAAACAATTAAACTAATGTTTCCACCCTAGAATTCAATGCCACAATGACTGTAACATTCAAAGTCAGAGTCGTGCAAATCTTGGGTTGGACCCCCATGATGATCCCAAGCATCACCTGCATTCCATGCGGTAGCTATTGGTGCGTTTGGGCGTCACATGTAACTGGAAATGTTTCTTCTGTTAGGTTCTATAGTGACTTTTTTTGTAGTCATTTGCATATTTTAGTATTATGCCCCCAAAATCAAATATCCCCTACTTTTTTTGAATAGTATAAGATTAGTGCATGTGATTGTTGCCGAGATTGTAGGTTAGGGCTGGGATAAGTATTAGGGCTAGATCCAGGGCTAGGATTAGGTTTGGGATTAGCGCTAGTCCTGTTTACATCAAGTCACCTTTGACCAAACTTGAAGTTGGCCTTTTCAAATAGATCTAACCGGTTGAGGTGGTGTAGTGTTTGGCACAGGTTAGTATGCTGTATTTGAAGTCTAGGTGAATTGTGGTAAATATCGGCTTATTTAAACCCTTTAGACACCAGTGACCCATCTGTGTTATCAAAATGCTAACTTCTACGGATGTCCCCATTTTGTTAATACAATTTTGCAGTTTACTGGCAACAGATTAATAGGAAAGAATTGGTCGAATATGGGATTTTACAAAGTAAACCTTGGGTTTGCACGAATAAAATATTATTATGTCTACGAATCGAACTACATTTTAGCCTTCTAAAAAAAATAAACCTTACTGTAATGTTAACCTGACTAAACAACCAGATACAATATCACATGTACCGAAGTTAAATAGCAGCGGTTCAGTTTGAATTCTTCGTGGACTTTTGTCCATTTCTTACTAATGCCAGGTTTTAATCGTGCATGTCATGGAGTAATTGTGGTGATCCTAGCAGGGCTTATGTATTGTGGTCAGTTGTAGCAATCGTGTTGGTCGTATCGAAACATATCCGAACGTATCTGTACGTACCAGATTGGGGACTCAACAGGGACAATTTTATCGTAACGCATCGCTCGACAGTGGGAACCTAGCATTGGGCCCGTTTTCAATGTACACGTTTTCGCGGAATTTTCATCGGTTACATTTGCATTACACCGACTGTTCCGCCGGCAAAAACGCGCGCGGGCACATGGAAAACGGGCCTTATATTTTGGGGGAAATCATTCACATAAGGTGGTTGGAAAAATTTAGGTTTTCTAAATTCACTCAATCGAGAAAGGAATATAGCTTTAATTATAGTGTATTAAATGGTCGTGCAGGCTTGTTCGAGACTTCATCAAGAATTCCATGCTATGTAAATTCAATAACATCCTACGCAGGTTAGTTCGAGACTACGTTGAGAATACCATGCCATGTATAGCCAATAACATCCTGGAGATAATACCGTTATACTATATTTTTAATAACATTTTGACAACATGTCCATCCCAGTTCTGCTATCTCTACAATGCAGTTCTCTGGGGAACAAATCCAAATACATAGTAGAACAAAATGATGTTTAATATCTTTATAGATGTGATTCACACAGCTTACGTTGATTCTCCATTGTTAATAAAACAAATTGTTATCAATTGCCAATACCTTTACTTTTAATTTGTGATTTACTTTTTCTACTAAATCCCAAAACAATTCGAATAATATTTTATTACCAGCAGTTTGTTGCATAAGGTCAATGAAAAACAGAACTTTAATATCTCAAATATTTCACAGTTTGTTGACTTGGTGGGAATGTTCGTTAGTGCTTATATTGTTCACGGGTGCATATGGAGGGGTCCCATCGAAATTTAAAATATTTCGACCGTAAATTCCAGATTTCCGACGATAGCTACGCTTGACTTACACATTTTTTAAATTTCTTGTAGTAAAACCTAACTCAAAGCAACATTAATATTTTGATTATTTTATTGTTGTGCAAATATCTTAAGCCTAGTCTATGCTTTTCAAGTTTGACGGTCATACTCGTTCGTGTTGTGTACGTTCCCTTTACTAGTGCTTCGAGTTTCGCAAATCAGTGTTAAGCCCGTTTTCCATGGTCAGAGGTTCAATCCCGGTGTTGGGTGAAATTTTCCAGTGTGGTTTCCCGTTGACAGTAGTAGAGCACAGAAAAAGGTCTAGTGGGTGGATTGGGAGAAATGCGATGATGCGAAAAGCCGATTTCTCGTTTACACATTGGCGTGCACGAAATGAAATGAAATGAAATGAGTTTAACGTCATCCCGTTCTGCTCCGACTGGGCTAATGAAGACAGGCATACACCATACAGTTTGCTATGAGGGAAATTTTGACGGTCTTCTTTAGCTAATGAAGACAGGTATACGCCATACAGTGTGCTATGAGGGAAATTATGACGGTCTTCTTCAGCCCAGTCGGAGCACGGGAGTAGGACGTTAAACCTCATTTCATTTCATTTCGTGCACGTCAATGTATACACGGGACCTCGGTTTTTAGCACCATGCGAACGACTAGACGGCTGTGGCTGTGGATATATGGAAGACATCAGTAGTGGAACCATTTTTGGTTAAACCCTATTTCATTTCTAATGCAAGCCATTCAAGGGAAGTAACTACAAAATTACATCTATTTAGTTTTGGGATCCATCATCTGTGAGCAATTAAAGTGAAATAAAATGAAAATGGGGTTAACGTCCTAGTGTTCTTCTTCGACTTGGCTAATGAATACGGGCATACGCCATACAGTGTGCTATGAGGGAAATTTTGCCCGGATAGCGGCGCTATGGCCTACTCTTATATCGAATTCCAACTGTAAGGGAATCTTTAACCTGCGCACCACTGAGTACACGGGGCCTCGTTTTTTTTGTACCGTCAGAACGACTATACGTTGTCCCTTGCCAAGACCTCGGTCCTGCACCACGACAAGGAGGAACCAGACCGGAAAATCTCAATGTCCTTTCTCCGACAACGCAGGAATTGAACACGGGATCTCCGGGTTAGCGAGCCAACGCCCTACCCACTGAGCCACCGTGACTCCCCAGTATATACTGATTATAAAGATTATCAATCAATCTAACTGAAACTAGATTGTTTGAATCGTTTCGTTATGGCTCTGATTATATTCAGAGAGACTATGGATGGTACGCATTGTGGTGTGACTTCAGTGAGTTTAAACACAGATCGGTGGACGATGTCTTCGCGTTATTGGAACGGCAATTATTTCACAGCTGTTTACAGCAGAAAACACTACACAGTCATAGAACATGTCAGATATTTAGTAAGATTGATACTTGTAAAATATAAAAAACGGAATATATAAAACTAATTGAAAAAAAAAAAATCGTTTTGAATTATATTAATTTTCAATAATGGACATCTTTCAAATTTTGAGGAACGAAAATGACCTAAACTCGACATATAAATATAAAATGAAATAGTGTTTAACGTCCTACTGTTCTGAATCGGCTGGGATAATGAAGACGAGCATACGCCATACAGTGTGCTATGAGTGAATATTTTTCCGGACAGCGGCGCTAAGGCCTACTCTTATATCGAATTCAAACTACCATGGGATCTTTTTGCTATTGTGGACACGGGACCGCGATTTTTTGTCTCATCCGAACGACTAGACAGCTGTCCTTTTCAGGCCCTCCGTCCGATATAGCTAGGCGTTATTGTCATAAATTTCAGTTTATAAACATACATACTTCTTGAAACGTTAACAAGTTTAAGATAGCTTATAAAATATATATATCTGAAAACATTTGTTGTTAAAGGGACAATAACAATCTTGCTGGCTTGACAGCTCCCAAAATATAAAAAAAATAGCCTTATTCTAAGTACTAGATGTGTTAGTGTCCCACCTGTTGTGTAAATTATCCATTAAATCCTATTTACTTGTCCAGAGGGTTCAAAAATATTTTTAAATCCAAGTCACATTTGAAACGCTTTATGTCAGGCTTTTCAAATCATTTAGTTGAATTTTTCCAATTTTTTAAATTAGGTGTGTTAAGATGAAATTTGTATCATCAATTAATTGGAATATTGTAAAATAGTACAATCTGTTGACCAGAATAAAGATTGGGACATATTATTCAGTTACAACAAGAGTGGTATTGAGCCTTTAAAGCTAGTTACTATTTTTTATAACTCACGTACTCGACCATAAGTATCCTGGGAAACTCCAGCAGGTCAAGACGGGGTGGATATATATAAATTGAAATTATGACAAGCCCGTGTTTATCAGAACACCATATTAAAAAAAGATTCCATACGCAATGAAACTCTTCCTGCTTCTGCTAGCATTGGGTAAGTTCGACCAACGTTTTATAATAACGCCACACAACTTGAGCGTGTAGACGCTCATTTGTTTGTTATAGGACACCAAACGGTTGTACTTATATCAATGTTAAAATAACAATATTTTTTAACAAGAAATGTAATGGTTTGATTTATTTTGTATTTGGGGCCGCATTAATAATGATCTTGACGATTAATAAATTGGAGTTAAAACTTTTCGGCACAAACATGGCTAATATAAACGGGATTGCGTTATTATGATTGTAAAAAAAAGCTATTGTAACTAAGCTAAAGCATTATTTGGCTAAATCTTTTTGTTAAGACCAGCTCAATTTTTGCCAAGGTCGCTGAGATGTAAATAATGTTAGGGCACGTGATTGTAGGCTAGGGTTAGGGTAGGCTTTGAGGCTAGGTCCAGGGTTAGGTTTAAGAATTTGGGGGAGAGGTTAATCCTTTCAATTAATATAAAAAAAATGAAATGGGGTTTAGTGTCCTACACCGACTGGGCTAATGAAGACACGCCATACAGTGTGCCGAAGGAAAGTTTGCCAGGACAGCGGCACTATACGGCCTACTCTTATATCGAATTTCACCTGTCAAGGGTTCTGCTCGCGAATGCGTACACGGGACCTCAGTCCTCTCATTCGAACGACTATGAGTTGTCCTTGTCAGACCCTCCGTCCTGTATCACTGACAAGATCGGACCACGCCGGAAAATAACAATGAACATTCTCAGTCAACACAGGGATCGAAGACGAGACTTTTATGTTTGCGAGCCAACGTCTTATTCACTGAGTCACCATGGCTCTTCAATGTCAAGTAACAGGTTAGAAAACAAATAATGTCCCGCGTTGTCCTCTATATAAGGCTGATTATGATATATGTTATTTTACCTCCGTTTTAGGTTACGCGCAGTGTGCGCCCAGCAACCGAATTGTTGGTGGATCCGATGCTAAATCTGGACAATTTCCATGGCAGGTGTCTCTTCAGTTTGATGTTGGAGGTGCGTTTGCACATATTTGTGGTGGTAGTCTCATTGCTGAGGACAGAGTTTTGACTGCTGCTCATTGTGTTGAGGGAACAAGGTACCTATAATACACCTTTTACATAACATAACACACAAGGACTGGCTATAATGCGAAATGTCTAGCGGGCTGGGATCACTGTATAATAAATGGGCTCTGGTCTGGATTAAAACTACTGCCGAAACAAGTGTTTAAGACCCAGTCCACTACCGGCTTCATATAAACATACGGTACTTACCAATTTAATTTAGCTTATAATATATTTAATATTTTACTTCCAGTGCCAGCGACTTGAGAGTTGTTTTGGGTATACTCAGACTGGATCATGTTGATGAAACTGAACAGATCCTGTCGCTCTCATCTCTCGTTATAGTATGTCAATTTGATCATATATTTTTATATTTATAAGTATCCGACACAATCCAAGGCCTTTTTGCAGGCTATTGCTGGGGTTGGCGGCCAGTGAAGAACCCTAAAGATGACACCCTGCAGATTGTCAACTGGAATTCCACAAACACGCAACCTTCAAAGGTTTGGCAAAGCTGTTCGTCCTGGGTCCCGTCTGGTTGTCACCCATCAAAATAGCCATAAACATATTAGGATAAAAAGACAAATATTTGGATTAATAATTTTAAGACTGTTCTATAATTATTAACACAGCGTCGTCTGTATCAGTATTTTTCAGTACCATCAGTTTAGAAACGTCAAGGGCAATGTTAGGATTTGCATATGTCACAGTTTATAGACTGAACCTCGCCGATTGAGTGAGTTTCAATTGTGAGAAATTAAAACGATCTGTGCGTTCCAATTATAAGGCCGACGTCCAGTTTTAAATCTAGCTACATGGAAAACAGTTTCTTCTCTTTAAACTATATAAAGTCGAGAAATCAAATGCAATTATTTTAGCATCCGGAGTATGATGGTGAAGCTGATGGTTCTCCAAATGATTTTGCTGTATTGCGCTTAAGTGGTACAGCTAATACGGCTAGCAGTGCTATCAGTATTATTGATATGGCTGATAAAGGAGATGATTTTACCGGAGAAGAATGTACTCTCAGTGGATGGGGTAGACTGTCAGGTAGTTATACCTATGTTACTACAGTTTATATTAAACTTTCTCGACGAGTATCCAATGAATTCAAAATGTCCTTATGAAAGTCGGCAAAGTGTATTTGTGTGTATGTATGTTTATTATACCAGTGATATGTACTTTATTCTGAACATTTGTAGTAGATACCACCACAAAACAGATCGATGGTCATTCTTTGGTTTCTTTTCTGTCATTACGTTGCACATAAGTTCCAATACCGGGTTAATTTTGAAGAATATATTTAAATATCTCTGTACATGTTATATCATTAAGGTATATTAATATATTACAAACAGGTGGAGGAATTATTCCAAACATTCTACAATGGGTTGACATGAAACAAATATCCAACGAGCAGTGTGCAATCGATATGGCCGAAGTTATTGGTGGTAAAATCAGACCTGGTAATATCTGTGTGTTTCAGTTTGGCAAATCAGCTTGTAATGTAAGTATGCTTTTGTGGTCTTCTTTGGAATGTGTGTTACGGGTCAACCAATGGCTGCAATTATTGGTTAATGAATGCGATCAAAGGCAGAGGCCGACTATTATATTTAGGGTAAGCTCTCCGAGCGCTGCAATAGCTTAATGAATAAATCCCAGTAAGCCAAAGACAGAAATCAGTTAGCAAATGAATAGCTAGGCATTCACTCTTTAATAGCAAAATAATTTTGTCCACCCATCCTACATTCTCCACTAGGTGATTTATATTGAGATCAGAACATATCCGGTTGTTCGAAATTTTATAGTATTATATCGATAAACTTAATTTATACTTTCAGGGTGATAGTGGAGGACCAATGATATGTAGTGGTAAATTGGCTGGCGTTTCATCTTGGGGTGTAGGTGGCTGTCCTCCCATTTTCCCGAGTGTTTATGGACGAGTTTCTGAATACAGAACCTGGATTGAAAGCATATGAAAATAAAACACAAATATTTGATTAAAACATTGATACGTCTTCTGGCACATTAAATATATATTGTTATGAGAATTGACACTAGTATACGAGGTAATTGGGACATATTTTGATGAATGGGGCTCACTATACTGCCGCTATACCAAAACACACAATATGGGTATGAAAAGAAACCTACTAAAGGTTCTAGACGTATTGCCACGGTCTAGCTCAAATGGTCAAGGAACATAAGCTACAGCCTAATATTAAATTCAGTCGCTTGGTCCTACCATGAAAGGCCTCTGGGGTATCAAGAGCACTAACGTGTCGCATGTGGCTTTTATTTTCCTAGTGTTTATTTCTGTCTGCTGCTCCTCCAAACACTAAGGGGTGGCTAGGTGGATAAGACGCTGGCTCGCTAGCCTGGAGGTCGGGTGTTCGATCCGTGCATTGGCCGAGAAAGTTCATCTGGATTTTCCGGCGTGGTTTCCCCTTGTCAGTGGTGCAGAACGGAGGGCCTGACAAGGACAGCTGTCTAGTCCTTCGGACGATACGAAAAACCAAAGTCCCGTGTATACATTGGAATGCACGTAAAAGATCCCTTGGCAGTTGGAATTCGATATAAGAGTAGGCGATAGTGCCGCTGCCCGGGCAAAATTTCCTTCATAGCATACTGTATGGCGTATGCCCGTCTTCATTAGCCCAGTATAGGAGCAGAACAGTAGGACGTTAAACCCCATTTCATTTCATTTCATTTCCAAACACTTAGGCCAAATACGCGTTCACCTTGTGACACACTAAGGCCTACTACTTGTGCACAATATGGGAAAAATGGACCTGAGCTATCATTATTATACTTTTTGAGTAGCGGATGAAAGATATTTCATGTCTAGGATCAAGTCACTTCCATCTAGATGTATCGTTTTATAACCTGTATGTATCACTTATAAACTGACATGGTCAGATGGCACACGTTTCATCGTTTATATAAAAAAAATCCCTAACCGCCGTAAATTTCACAAAATGAAATTCCTTTCTTTATTTTCGCGGGAGAAGTTTCGAGGTGTTTCTCTTGTTTAAATTGGATGATGTCCCTGTAAATGCATTAGTCAAAACGCAAATCAGGGAGAGAGAGAGGGGTGGGGTTTAACGTCCACTCGACACAGACTAGGTCATTTCACAAATCAGGTAGAGTAAATAGACGTACAAGACGATATTTAGTACAGTACAGTATATTTCTGTGGATACGGATAGGTCTTTAGAGGTCCAAATGGTGAAATTCTGGTGAAGTCTATTCATATATCAAGATCTCCTCGAGAATCACGCCACATAGTTCAATATGAGAGAGCAGGTAATTATAAAACATTTAACTTGATTGAAATTATTTAATCCTTTGAGTATTAAGCCTGCTTTCCGTGTAGGCGTTTCCGCCGGCAAAACGTCTGTCTAATGTTGCACATAAGCACACAAGCAGGTGTTTGCTTTCTCCCCCACAACTGTTCGTGTTGCTGTTTTTATAAACAGGCGGCGACTGAACGTAAACAATGCATACTCCTGGGAATAATCGTGCGCGAAAACGCGTGTATGCAAAGCTAATGAGGGAAAGTTTGCCCGGACAACGCAACGGCGCTAAGGTAAACTCTTTTATCGAATTCAAGGGGATCTTCTACGTGCACGCCAACGTGTACATGGGACCTCGGTTTTGCATCCTATCCAAAGACTATACGTTGTCCCTGGCCATGGTAGAACAACGAAAGAGCAAGCTGTGGTTTTGGGCTATAAATAATCCGAAATGCATTCAGTAAACATTTAAGTGTTTTTGACATGCCGTCTTCATTAGCCCAATCGGAGCAGAACAGTAGGCTGTTAAACCCCATTTCATTTCATTTCGTTTTTAACATGTCAAGAAAGTGTTTCAGGTATTAAATGATGGTTGTGCTGCAAAAGTGTCCCAGTGTTATTAGAACTTTTAAGACCGAGTTACGGACAGATCGTAAATGTAAGATCTGCCTTTACATCACTATTTAGTGCTATTCAAGGACAAAGATGACGCAGAACCATAATGGGTCTCAAAACAGGTTAAGTGACCATAAAAGTACTTTCATCCGAAACCATCTGTCTTGGTTACAATGATTGTACAATTTTACCTCTCGATCATAATTATCATGAGAGACTCCAGCAGGTAAAGGGGGTGTGGTGATATATTAGGCGAGATAATTACAATACCATATTTATATATATCTAGTGAGAACTCATACAAAATGAAAATATTGCTGCTTCTTTTTGCATTGGGTAAGTTTGTTAAATAATAGTAAAGTCAATGTCATATTTATCTAGACCTCATACAGAACTGAATAATAGTTTTCTACATGACCATACTTATTCTGAGATACTCCAGTAGGTAGTATAAACTGTAGTGTAACATCGACTGAGCTAATGAAGACAGGCATAAGCCATACGATGTGCTGGGAGGGGGCAGGATAGTTTGTCCAGACATCGACACTGGAGCCTGCCAAGGGTTTTTTCACGTACACATTACCATGTTTTTTTCGCCGAATCCGATTGACTATGCGCTGTCCCTTGCCCGCAACACTGAAAAGGGGGTACCTCGACGAAAAGTCAACGATAAACTTTCTCGATCAACTTTTTACTCACGGGGTAGGTTTTTTCTTTATTAAATGACAATACCATTTTTACCCGGCGACAAACTACACAGATGGAACTGTTCGTATTGAGTAAATTTATTGTGTATTAAAATTTGATTGATTCCATAGCGTTATACGGTAAATCGTGTTTAACCTTTCGAAAACAATATTCTGTCGCATTATTACATTATTAGAAGGCACACATGTTTTTCAGATATGCAGGCTCCACTTGACTAGTTGACAACAATTTGAGAAAAATCCAGAGTTCTTCTCTACCACATCATAATAACCAACCCTCTAAGCATTCCTTGCACATTTTATCTCCTGTATATTTAAAAACTTGATTTAAACAATGTTTATTTAGATGATGTATATACAATCACATCAAGATGAATAGTGTGTAGAACTGAGCCGAGAATTTTTACCAATCTAATTAAAATATAGATCTATATTTCGTTTCGTTTTTTATACTTTCGATGGCCTACACTACATGTAGATCTAACAAGTTATAGTGGGAGTTGACGTTCTATGACGTCAGGTACCAAGCAAGCGACATTTGACCCGATTACGTCAGTCATTCGATTAACCAATTAGCAACCGCTATGTATTTTTTATCTACTTATGCGTTGTTTTGATTTCTATTGCCGCCAATGTCTACCCACAGTTCCGCGCAAAAAAGATCAAACGCTCGATTCGACAGACCATTTGATTGGCTGACCCCTAATTTCAAGCAGAACACGAGTTAAATAACAATAACAACGCTTCCAGAACCAAGTGTAGTAAAGACAAGTAAAATCGAAATTTTGAACTATAAAAACGAAACGAAATTGGATCTGTGTTTTAATCAGATTGAGAACTTTTACGTATTGTATGGGTTTTAACACTCGTTTGTATTCCTTAAAATTGGGATTATCGGTAATATTTTGGCCATATTTATAAACTAGAGATTCACGGCTTCACAAAGATGCCAAGTATATTACGTAAGGAGACTGACCGGTCGTCCCGCTGCATTATCTTTGTTTGAAATATAATCAGAATGGTCAGCTCTTTATAAAAATCTTACATAATGCCCTAAAATATTCGTATTGAACATCCTTTATACGTTTCAATATTCCAGACCAAATGTTGTGGTTTAGTTAACAGGAACCGAAGAATGGGGAAGAAAAGCTACCGGTAAACGAGAAAGCTTTTAATAGACCGCGGCCATTGTTCCGTTGATGATAATCTTTACGAGGAAAAGATTGTTACAATAATGAAAAAGCAAGAAATGAAATGGGGTTTAATGTCCCATTGTTCTGCTCGAACTGTAACAATGAAATGAAATATAATAGGGTTTAATGTCCTGGGCTAATGAAGACTGGCATGTGCCATACAGTGTGGCGGCACTATGGCCTACTCTTATATCGAATTCCAACTGCCAATTGATTATTTACGTGCACGTCAATGTATA